TTTCGGTCTTAACAAATATACCTAAAGGTAAGCATGAAAATAACATTTCCTTAAAGTGTAATTTCATTCAAAACATGTGAGAAGTGTAAATGAGATTAAGCATAGAAAGACATATCAAAATATGGCAGGTCAGAGTTTTTTTTCTTGCTCATTTTTATTCCAAATTGCACCATTTTTGCTTCCTTTTTTCAAAAAGTCCATTTCTTGTACTTGAAGCCAAAAATATACAAAATACATTCTGTTAAAGTGTAATATCATTAAAAATGTGCATAAAATGAGCATGAAATGTACTATAAAATAGGTAATTTTTAGGTGTTTCACCCCCCCAAGGTTTGATCCAACCTAACCCAACCCAGGTCCAATATGAATTAACTTAGGATAGACCTGTCCCAACAAAGGCTTGACCTAACCCAACCTATATTCAACTTAACCAGATCAAGGCATGACTTGAGTCAATCCAAGCCAACCTAACCTAACCTAAGTCAACTCAGATCAACTAAATCGACTCAAGTCAACCCAAGTCAACGCGAGCTAACTTAAGTTAACACAGGTTAACCCAGTTCTAATCTAGGTTAAATTAGAACCCAAGTCGCCTGACCATTATTACATTTGAGTACAATGTTGAACTTCAACCGAGCTAGAAAACTAGTTTACCTTAGCTCAATCCTGGCCTGTGTCTAATTCAAGGTTGAATATATATGTTATTTATTTTATTTCATGTTTCATTGCATTTATAGTCTTAAAAATAAAGAAAAAAAATAAACAAAAAAAATACATAAATCAAAAAGTAGGATGAAAGCCTCCCATGAGATGGTTTTCATCCCAAACAAATAAAAGCTCAAAATCAAGGAATACTTCGATTTCTCACCATGACTGACAAATCAAAGAGCTGAAACAATACATGAATTAAAATACCGAACCTTGAATAATATTTAAAAATAAAACAACATCGAGAATAAGAACATAACCTACTTAGATTTGACATAGACCTTAGGTTAGCTAGTTTAGACACAAAATTAAGGATCATACACTTACCTTAGGTTTGTCGGATTATAGAAGTCTAGGTTAGTTTGATAGGTACTAATATTTTGTGCTAAGGACTAGGACATAAAAAACAACAAACCTACCACCAAGAATAGAAGGAATACCTAGAGTAATGTTACCAATTAATGTTACCAATAGTTACTGATGAAGGTATTTCATACCACCTAAAAACCACAAATCCTCCATGCTACGACACTTAAGAGGGATTCCTAACTATGAGTTTAGTTATAGTCAATATATACCAATTTTCCTAGGATAATAGAAAGCCGTGAGCATCTTGACTGGTGACGTTATTATTAAAGTCTAGGTTAGTCCACCCATTATAATTCCTTAGAGTGTCTAAGGTTTCAATTCTTATCTAAAAATATTTTCTACCCGACTCTATCCTTAGCTTAGAATTTATAATCACTTATATCAGTTAAATTAAGTATCCTTGATTCATCTTTCTCTAATTAATTCCAACTTTATCAGCCTCTTTAAAACTCTTCAATCATTGCTCTGCAGGTATAGTCACCTGCAACGGATGGTCGAATCCTTACATCTAGGCCTTTTCCATAACTCATGATCATCAAACTAGAAGTCTCATCCCTTGGAGCTTAATTCTTTCAATTTGGATCCTCTACCACCTCAATCATGAAAGTTGATCTTTTGACGATTTGACTCATTATTTTAATTGAGAATTTTCCTTAAAACTCATAGCTTTATAAATGTAATTATATGAGGGCTTCCCCTTGTAGGGAACGAGAACCCATAATTAAAATAAACCTTATCTCACACTCGTAAGGTATGAGAAAAAACCCTGGTTCCATAAACTGATGAATGCTCTCATCATTCAAATGATTAGACCCTTTTTTAAGGTCATCTTTTCTTCCTTTGGGAAGATATATTATTTTTCAAAATTTCATGATCGATCATCTAGATAGAAGTCTTTCAAATTGTTCTATTGTGTGTGGTGATACACAAAAATCTTCGCCACTCCTCACATGTGATTGTGAAGATAATGCACTTAAAAAATACAATTTAAATCAATTGATTGACCCATAGAGAAAATATATAATTTTTAGAGTTTTGGTGTAGTTTTCATGCAAGAAAACTTTAAGCTGAAGAATTCCATGTAAAAATTATTTCAGACCATCATCGAAATTATCTGTGGTCTTTAAATGTAATAATAAACATCATGCAACTTTCTGATTGATGTTTTGAGCCATACAACAATTCCGAGAGAGAAAATAATAATTTTGGGTTTTTTTGATAGGGTTGTTTCAAGTTTTAGGTCAAGATTCAACTCCAGTGAATTTTAATGGAATATGAAATGGAGGGAAAAAGATTAGTCTAAAAATGAGGTCAACAACATCATCATGGTGAGGTTGTATTTTCTTCTCGTGGAGCACTTCCTTAAAGAGAGTTTTCACTCAAGAAAAAGTTTAGGAATAGGTTCAAACAAGGGATGTATGTTAGGCTAATAGTGGAGCTTGCTAATTAGACTTCATTCTTGCACCATAGTATTGAAAAAAATATACTAGATGCCCAAACTATTAAAAGAAAATAAATCTATCATTAGAAAGAGTTCACTAACCCTAAAATATTTTTTTGAGTAACTCGAAAGTTTGTAGAGAAAAGTCCACTAAAAATAATTTCTTCTTAGTTGCCCGAAAGTTCTGATCAAATCAGCTCATTCCCAGGTTTGCTCAGATACTAAATATCATGGATATGGGTGGCATTTTGATGCGGTAAAGTACTAGAGTTTGTTATTGATATTTGTTTTTAGGTCTAAATATGTGATCTAAAGATTTTGGTGTAATGTTAAGAAATTCAAGAGAGAATGGTGGCTAAAATACCAAGACTAATCTATATTAGGCTACTTTAGAGTGACTTGAAATATCTTTCCAAAAACTGTCTTAAGAATGGGTAAATGGCTAGAAATCATTAATGATGGTTAGCGTAGAAAATGTACTTATGATTTGGAGTAGCTGGATGGGTTTGGATGGTTTACAATGATGTTTAGGGTTAGGGAGTATGACTAGGTTTTAATATGCTCTTGCTTGGTCAAGAGCTATGAAGATGGGTTTGGAATGGTTGTGAGGCTTTGGTTGTTGGTCTGTTGATGTTATAAGAAGATTAGGACGTGGATGAACTGTGGTGAAGAGTTTAAGGGGAAGTATTTTGAAGGATAATAAATAACTAAAAACAAAATCAAAGTCGAATATCTAATCTCACCAAAGAAAATACAACACTTGAAGCCACCAAGCACCAAGGAATAAGAGAGAAAATTCTCTCTTAAATATTTAATTCAACAACTAATCTAAAGCATTAGATATTATCCTATTTATCAGGATTACAATAATAAAAAATCAATAAAAGAGGAGGGACTTTTGAAGAGAAGGAAGGTTATAACCACCTTTCTAATTTATTATTATTTTTTTATGAACAATTATAAAATTATCCAAATTTAAAAATTCAAACATTCTAGAAACTAAAATTTAAATATAAATAATAAAATGCAAATTCAAATATTTCTTCTTGATATGACTCATCTGGTGGGTCTTGAATGGGCTCTTAATTAGACACTTTTTTTACTCTTGCTTGAACTCTTGTGATGGAACCTTTGACTTCATTTAGATGATACGCTACATCAATCATGTCACCAATTTTTTTTTTGATCAAGCACATATCTTGATGCTTGTGATGGAACCTTTGACTTCATTTAGATGATACACTACATCAATCATGTCACCAAATTTTTTTTTGATCAAGCACACATCTTGATGCATCATTTTTAGTAAACAATTTTTTTCAAATCCAAATT